TTTATGCAAGAAAATTAAGTTATAGCTCTTTATTTTTAAATATACAGTGATGTACTGCACTAGATTGTCAAGTTTAGTTTAGTTTAGCTTTTGTATATTTGATTTTTTAAGAGGGGAAACGGTTTATCGCTTTTTCGATGAAAATGGCAATATTGTACGTAATTAAAAGATTTACAACTTTTTCACAAAACCTAAAATATCAAAATAACCGAGTTTTACTGTATTTTTGTCGCTCAGCTGTGGTCCCTCAGGTGTAGTTCTAAAGCTTGCACATTGGGAATTAATCCAATCTTCAAATACTTATTATTTAATATTTTATATTTATACAAGACATTAGACGAAAATTGCGGCTCTAGCAATTCCTCGAAACAATATTCGTTTAAGACCTTTCTACGAACAGCCGAGATTTCAAGAAAAAAAAAGTGAAATAACCGCATCGCGTTTTGTTCGCATACATACATAATAACAAATTTTTGCACGACTGGTCCACGCATCTGACTTCAAATGGAAACCTGCTTTATTATTACCCCTTGTAAGTTGACTTTAAAGAAAACTACATTTATATAACAGTTATTAAAACTTGAATTATACAATCATATGCACCTAACTAAGATTGTGAAAGAATTTTTACAATCTTAGTTATCAGAGAGCATAATAAGCTGGCTATTCAATCAACTAAAGGTTCGCATGAGACGAAATTGAAAAAAAAGAACGTACAGTACCCCTAGCACGAACCATTATCGAATTCGAATAGTTTGCAAACCGAAATGTCAATGTCAAATTTTGTATGGAAACTTGAACAGCAGCGGCACAAAGTACGTAACGAGAACTAAAAATGGCATGCAAGTACAGGGGTCTAGGCTCCGAATATGATTTTGTCCCACCCTTGGTCCGTGGGGTCCTAGCGCTATAAGGCTATTTAAAGAAATAGCAAAAATATTAGTCGACATCACAGGAGACCGAAGAGCTGGCAGCTACCTCGGACAAAGAATTAGTCTAGCTATCCAAAGGGGGAACGCTGCCAGTATCTTCGGAACCTTGCCTAAAGGGACTCCTTTTAGTAATGTATTTTAGTTATTATATTTAATTTTTAAGGTTTTTAGTTTTAGGTTCATTGTTATAGTATTTTTTTAAGCTAGTATTAGATAATAGTATATTTTAAAAAAAAATACACTTTTGACAATGACATTTCGGATTCGCAAACGTTACGAATTCGATTTTGGTTCGTGCTAGGGGTACAGGTATCGTACTAACACCTAAGGAGACAATTCATCAATTTTCATTTGTCACATTGATTCGAGATCGTAGTTAATGGCGCGAGGTTTAGCCCGAATACCAGTGCCAACAGAATTCGAGTGAACGACTAAAGTGTAATGAACGGATTCGAGTACGCGGGTAGATTTCCTTTTGTTTACCTGACACCGTCTTCCAGTGTAAACATTGCTGCGAGTGCCCGAATTCGAGTAATATTCTTACCCGAATACGGCTAACGTACACGTATTTTTTCTTTTTTCACATAATATAAACATTGCAGAGATATATTCATTTGAAAAAGTCGCATGACGTGACGTTTGAGTACACTTATAAGTGAAAATTCACTAAAAAGCGACGTCACGAGCCCTATAAGCTATAACTTTGTCATTATTTGGTTGATTGTCCAAAGAAAAAATACGTTTCCATTATTTTTTGATCATCTAACTGACGGACTAAACAGAATTTCGTTTACTGTGCCCCGTCATCACCCCTATTGCGGCATTAGTTTAGATATTGTTCGGATTAAAAGCCTAAAACTGAAAAAATCATATAATTTTGCTGCCTAGTCCGCGTGGATTTTTTTTCTAGTAAACTTTTCTTTAGATTTAAACATCTAGCAGTTAAATGATTAAAAAAAAAAAAAAAAAAATCATAAATATAATGATAATTATCTAGTAAGTATAAATAAAGTATACAACATGTAATATTTATATTCTTTCTTATATTTTTTTGTACGAGTAAGTAGATACCCAAGTAAAAAGCGCGATATGGCAGGAATAATGAGAAAGGTAATAAATAATTCGCGCAATTTATACTCGTGAAAAAGTGTTCAAGTAACTATTACATACGATTATATTTTGTTTTAAGCAAGTAACTGCTCGATGTCTAAATCTAAAGAAGATATAACTAGAAAAAAAATATAACTGTAAAAAAATATACCTAACTGTAATTGCTATTTCTTCTTTCAAATGTTTAATACTTGTAAAAGTGTTCATTTGACATTGTGGGTTACCTATAATGCGAAGAGATGGCGCTGCCTTGCAGCTTAAGAATGGCTAGAGGAATTTCATAATTGGTCAGTGCATTCGCCCGGATAGCGAAGGGTGCGGGTTCGAGTCCCGTCTGCTGCCTGGTCCGTGTATTACATGCGATGTTGTTTTTTAGGTCGAGAGATTTTCCGGCGCTGATGCGACCTTGTGTCAATCGTCGTGCTGCCTATGGTGGGGCAGCGACCTATATTGGCCTATTTACTTTTTATATCTTTTTATGCATTTTTTTCTTTTTAATTTAAATCTCACTTTTCTATATCTATAGTGAATGTACTGTAATTGTTTAATAATTGGCGACCTTCACGGTAAATACGTGTATTCGACTATACTATACTGTGATTCATTCGACTCCCGCTAAGTGCTAATTTTTTGTGGTCGATGCGACTTTTGAGTCGAAAGATACAAGCTTACGTAATTATTGTCATTGCCTTACCTTATTGTCTTATAAACCACAGACATTCTGGCTTTTTGCCAATAATATAATACACCAAAAGAAACAGCTATAATAGTTATAACTAAAACTCGTTGATAATTTAATAATTGAAATAATCTCGAGTACAGTAGATGTAATACCAAAGCGTTGTCATCTATCAATGGTTAGGTTTCTGTAACTGTATGGCGCTCATTTACGATTTATTTTTGAAAGCTATCCAGGATAATCCAGGTGTTTCCGAGGCTTTTTACTCAACTCAACTCAAATCATTTATTGCAACCATAATGTGTACAGTGGGTGGTAGGTACTTATATAAATATGAGCATTATGGACCCCGTCGGGCACGCAATTGGTTATTAGAAGAGAGAATACGCTTCCCAAAAGAAACAACACTAATAGTAAAATTATAATTGGATGTTAAAGATTGTTTCATATGTTTATATTTCATTGTTATAATTGGATTCTTATTTAGATTATCACAATCTGATTTAATTATAAATAAAAATAATAATAATTTCACAAAATAAAATATAATAAATAATAAAATCAATTATTTGTACATGTATATTAATATTTACTGATCTTTATCATTATATTTTAATAATCATTTACATTATAATAACATTTGTTAATTAGAAATTCGTTTAATTTATTTTTAAATGTCAAGTAATTATTTTCATTCATTATTGTATAGGGCAATTTGTTATTAATTTTAATAGATGAATTAAATGTGCGTGATGATGATAGTTTTAGTTTGCTATTTATAGTGATCTGTGGTCTAGAATAGAATATTATATGCCCTTTGCCTTCCCAGAATGGGAAAAGGGAAAAAAAAGAATATTATATGTCTTCAGGCTAAGATAGTAAATCATTCAGCCTATGTTGTTATATTTTTTTTATATGTATTAATTGGTATGGTTGATTCTTTTGGTGTATTTTTATTGTTTAAAAAAAATCTGTGTCATCAACCTTAGGCCCTGCCAGAATCATCAGTGCTGCAGCAGCCCTGGTGTTGCTGTATTAAGCTGAGGCAGGGCCCTAGTTGGCCTATTTTGTCTTGTTTTATTTATGTTAATATGACTATGTTTAAGGCTAATAAAATTTCTTTCTTTCTTCTTTCTTCAAATTAGTAATAAACATATGAAATTGTTAACATATTAGAAATGATGGATATTTCTTTAATCAGGGGTAAGTAGGAGATGCATTGTATTGCAACACACTGGTTTTGTGTTATTTTCCCTGACGATTGTTAACGCGATAAATCATAAAATGCATTAAACTTTACAAGAAATCAATATGCAGCAATCAGTAGTATAATATTAGTAGCTTTTAAAATGGATATCAACCTTTCTTTTAACTTAATCTTTTGAAATCTTATTATTGTAACGAAAGGAGATTGCTCAAATTGGTCCAAATGCACAAAAAATATTGACATATACGGTAATTCTTGGCGTAATTTATACTTTATTTTACAGTCATTACATTTTAACGGATACCTTTGTATAATATATTAATTTTAAAAAGGACTTTTAATTTTACCGGTTTGAAAAACATACGAATCATTTTAATGGCTATGGGTGTAGTAACATTCAGCCAAAGACTGATCGAAGTTGTTTATATAACATAAAATCAAATCTATTTTGTAAAGATCGATAAGGTACCTTCCTTATTATAATCGGAAATGCATAGATGATACCTGATTTTAAAAGTTACTCTTGTGCATTAAGTTTAAAAACAGGCAACTATCTGTTAATCTACATGCTCTATATACCTGAATCTAATACATAATTTCGGTACTTGGCTTGATTTCCCTAGTTTACTATATAACTTATATGTTTTTTATTATTTTATTACCGATGTACCTATTTGCAAACATAACCTCAAAATCGTTCAGTGTATATGGTTTATAGAAGTTCTCAGGGGTGTCCGTCAATAATATTCGTTTCTGCAGTAATTTATATATAATTTCGGATCTATGAAACAATTTTTCAGGATTATTGGTCTTTAGGCCAAACATGTATGGAAGCTGAGCAATCTCCTTTCTAAATCAATATAAAATGCACTGCTCTTAGAGGTATCTAGCTTTAGCCAAATCGCCTTTCCCGTGGAGCTCTGTCACACTTCCAATATCGAGCGACAATAAGTTTTATTTGTCTGAGGTTTTGTGTAAGGTGGAGTATATCAGATGGATACCCTAACTGAAATTCTAGTGTTCCCAACGTTTCCTCCTTCTGCCTACTTCTCTTAGTTCATTATCCACTTACCCTATCTGCGGTGCTTATCTTCTCCCTGGCTGGGACTGCGGGACTAACTGCGTTGGAGGTCTCCTTGGACGGTTTCGTTGTATCCAGGGCTCCAGTCGGCTTTTCTACGCCAGGTTTGGGAGCTTCCTTAGGTAAAGTCATATCTAACACTGTTTCTTTAGCCATTTTGTTTACACTTAACTTCGTGAAACTTTTTAAAGTTTTGTTTCGATAACGATACTTTATTTTAGCAGCGAGATCAAGTCAACGTGTTAACACGACCGCGTGTGTTTTGAAACTAAATGGTTTCGCGTCCGCAACACAAAGCAGACTCTGAGTGATCTTGTAATGCCGGCAACTTTACGACAGGAATCGGTTGAGTGTGTGTGTGGCGTCGACAAGTCGACACTGACGCGAAACTACGTGTTAATAAACCCACACGATGTTCTGTGACGTAGTGACATTCCGTGACGTAACGATATTTCGGTAAGTAATTGGTTATTACAGGTTGAATAACAAATTAATGTTAACTAGTATGATTATTTACCGTATTACATAATTATATCGGGAATATCCCTTCCTGAAATTTGAACTAAGGGAAATCGAAGGATATTTTCTAATTTACGCTGACGTATATTTAAGAAATATATAGTACTTACTTGGATCTGTGTATGGACTATGGAAACTAAACAATCTTCTAATATATAAAATTCTCGTGCCGCGGTGTTTGTGGTTAAACTCCTCCGAAACGGCTTTCCCGATTCTCATGAGTGTGCATATTGGGTAGGTCTGAGAATCGGACAACATCAATTTTTCATCCCCATAAATGTTAAGGGTAATCCACCCCTAATTTTTTTTTTATTTTAGATTTTTTTTTTAATTTTTTTATGATACATCATACAAAAACACATACAACCCTAAATTTTCACCCTTCTACCACCAACCCTTATTTTTTTATGGCGGTATGAAGTTCGCTGGGACAGCTAGTGTATACCTATATAAAAAGATAAATAGCTAAAATCGTAAGTAGTTAAACCAATCATACGTCACAACTCGACAGCAAATAAATGTACTGATGACACAAATTATGGTTCCTATCCTTTTAAGGGCAAAAGGCAGCGCGGCTCAGACAGGCCCCGCCCGATCTAGCAATACTTACCCGCTGTGGCTTTTGAGAATGATATTTCTTTATCAAGGGGAACATCATCATCATCAGCCTATTATTGTCCCCACTGCTGGGGCACAGGCCTTCCCTATGGATGAAATAGGGAGATTGGGCCATGACCCACCGCGCGGGCCCAGTGCGAATTGGTGGGTGCTAACGATTGCAGATGCAGCCGGGACCAACGGCTTAACGTGCCTTCCGAAGCACGGAGGAGCTCGAGATAGTAAATTTTTGGTCACCCATCCAATGACCGACAACTACGAAAGTTGCTTAACTTCAGCGATCGCAGCCGAACGCGCTAACCAAATGCGCCATCGAGCTCCTCCAAGGAGAACATACAGCATTTAAAATACATGACAGTTGTCTCTACTTCTATTTAATTTTTATTTATTTTGTTTTATTTCTATTAATTTTTTATTTGAATCTATAAATTGTTAATTGAATTTAATTGACATGTAGAATATATTATAATTCTGAATATAATCAATTTGGTAATTAAAATACGAATACTAATGACATAGAATAAGCCCGGCATTGTTACTAACTTGTACTAATAAATATTTGTTTCTTAGGTTTTCACGCACATCACTCATTAAATAAAACTAGTTTTAACGGGTTAATGCACGAAACTTTATTTAATTTTGTCGAGCTACTTTCGAAAGACTTTTATTGAAGGTAGCTCGACAAAATTAAATAAAAAATCATTCTGACGAAGCAGACCTGAAAAGGCTGCGAAACGTCAATAAATAAATAAAATTTCGTGCATTAACCCGTTAAAACTAGTTTTATTTGTACTAATAAATTATGGATTATAATATTATTATAATAATCTGAAATAAAATGATGATTATTATTATTATTTACGCAGCGCACGCTCCTAATTAGTGTTGCCCAAATTCAGTCTTGGTCTTGGTCTTGGTCTTGGTCTTGCAGCAAGAGTCTTGCAAGTCTTGCAATTACCTATTAGACTTTTGCTATTTATCAAAGTTTACTTTAGATCTTAGAAAAAAGATATTCGGGCTCGTAAGCAATACAAAAATCTTGTATTGTAATCTTGGCTTTTTATTTTATAAGTAGGTAGGTACGCTTTTTATATTATTTTATTAATTTTGTAGATTTTTTTACACGTTTCAAGTATAGTTATCAAACGGATGATATTTGACCACTTATTTGCTATTTTTTCTTATGAAAACTTTAAAGAAATTTAAGAAATATTTTGACTAAAAGTTTGAAGAGCCATTTGTTTGAAGCGTACACAAGACCAAGACCAAGACTGGCTAAGTCTCGTCTTGTTCTTGCATTTGGGCAACACTACTCCTAATTATTATAGCATTGCAGATTTACAGCATCACGGAGTAACTCCGTGATTGCGTGATTCGCAACGCAACAATGCCGACATATCGGGGACTTACAAAAAGCAATTCCGCTAATCAGTTTAAACTAATATTTGAAACTGTCATGGTCACTAACATTATTATTTATATTACTTAGCAGGTGGTTAGCGCGTTCGGCTGCGATCGTTGAAGTTAAGCAACTTTCGCAGTGGTCGATCATTGGATGGGTGGCCAAAAATCTTCTATCTCGAGTTCCTCCGTGCTTCGGAACGCACGTTAAGCCGTTGATCCCTGCTGCATCTACAGTCGTTAGCATCCGCCAATCCGCACTGGGCCCGCGTGGTGAGTCATGGCCCAATCTCCCTATTCCATCCATAGGGAAGGCCTGTGCCCCAGCAGTGGGGACATTAATAGGCTGATGATGATGATGATGATATTGATCAATCCTGCATCTGTACTTCTTATTATACTTATAAGTTCTGCTCAGCAACTCTTGGTCAGTTCTGTACAAGTTCTCCCATCGTAGATTTACGAATCTATCTCGCAGTTTTTTTGAAGTTCATGAGAGCGTTTTACATATAAAAAATATCCCATCATCATCATCCCTTCCCTATGGATGGAATAGGGATATTGGGCCACGTTCGGAGTGCGTTTGCGTCTTCTTTCCGCAGTGGCACATTGTGATTGAATGGTTGAGAAATGAGAAACAAAACAAAGAATACATTTCACATAAGTTTAATTTTGCAATTACAATTTTTTTCGTAAATAAACATTGTATATGGGAACGAAATTGTATCTCATGTGACTGCGTCATTACTATTGCGGTTGTCAGCGAGTGTTTTCCTCGCTTCTGGCAGATGGCGTTGTCACTGGTACACAGCTGATCGTTAAAAAACTGTTTTCTCGCGGTCGCAGATATGTGACTGATGCAAAAAATAGATAAAAACAATCCTTGACGCGAATTTTATATCATGTTAAAATTTCAACTCAATCGGTGCAGAACTTTTTGAGTTTTTGAAGCGTACACAAACCAACATAATAATTTTTATATATATAGATTTAGGATTATGTCATTATATGTATGTAGGGCTGCCATCTCTAAAATGTAGCAACCAGGATAAGACGCGTGATAACCCCGGATTTTGAAGCCCAGAACCCGGACAGACCAATAAAAAACACTTAAAAATGTCACAAATCAACTTTTTTTATGTTGATCTAGGCAAAAGAGCTAGCGGTCTACCTCATAATAAGTGGTCACTGCTGCCCATGGACACTTGCGGCACCTAGGGCCACTCATGCGTTGCCGTAAATTTTTAAACCCGGACTACAAATAAAACCCCGCCCGGACGCTCCCCGGACGCCCCGTAAACTAGGACAAATCCGGGGAAACCCGGACGGATGGCAGCCCTATATGTATGTAATGTGAGTATATATATATATGTATATCAGCGTGTGTATGCGCAATATGATTAGGTAAGCATAAATGTATGATTTTGTTGCTTGTTAGCGCCTAACACGTCCTCGCACAGGCTCTGCCAGAATACCAGCGTTGATACAGTGAGAGAGTATTCTCCCACTGTGTCAGCATAAGCTGAGGCAGGGTCCTGATTGGCCGTCTTAGTTTTATTTTTAGGTTAAGATTCTCTTTTATTTTCTGTGTAATAAAAATTGCCGACAGTTGGCCGTTTGCCGTTATTTATAGTATTTTTATTGTGTAAGATGGCCAATATAGGTTTTTTCATTTCATTTTCATTTCATTTAGAACTCTCAGGGAATCTCTCACTACGTTGGGGAAGTTGTATAAAGCGCTAACTGACTTAACTTAGTTAACTTTTAAATATTCGTAGTTTTCAATATGATTACAAGTGGCCAGAGTGTCTTAAACATAAAAACTCGATCTTTTTCGCAATACTTTCTGAGTGGCCTGGTATAGTTGGGTTGGCAACCTTATCTAATATATAAAATTCTCGTGTCTCGGTGTTTGTGGTTAAACTCCTCCGAAACGGCTCGACCGATTTTCGTGAAATTTTATATGCATATTCAGTAGGTCTGAGAATCGGATGTAATCTATTTTTCATCCCCCTAAATGTTAAGGGTAATCCACCCCTAATTTTTTTTTTTAAATTTTAGATATTTTTTTTTATTTTTTGAATTTTTATACATCATACAAAAATACATACAACCCTAATTTTTCACCCTTCTACCACCAACCTCTACTTTTTTATGGCGGTACGAAGTTCGCTGGGTCAGCTAATTACTTATATAATCAAAAAATGGGTGCGTGTACTTATGTAGGCGCGTGAGAAGTTATCCTTCTTTGGCATCGTTTAAAATTAGTTTTTAATTGCATGCAAATAATTAATTACAATAAATTAATAAAAAGTCTGGAAAAGGACACAGTCAATAAAGTTCAGTTTTAATTTGAAAAAATAAATAAATAATCAAAATATTCAATTAAAATCGCTACTGAATATAATTTAATACAACATATGTGATAAATATTATAAATATGAATACCTATAACTGTTAATTTATTACAAAAAATAAAGATGTGTTTTTGGTTCTACTACACCAATGGTCAAGAGATGGCGCTGTAGTCTCCTGAATCGCGCTTTGGTTCCGTTGTTCCAGAGTAATAAATACTTTTGATATTATAAATATGAATACCTATAACTGTTACTTTATTATAAAAAATAAAGATGTGGTTTTTGGTTCTACTACACCAATGGTCAAGAGATGGCGCTGTAGTCTTCTGAATCGCGCTTTGGTTCCGTTTTTTCAGATTAATAAATACTTTTGATAGGCCTTCACAATGCAGTCGTTAGCACCCACTAAATAG